GCCGGCGGGCGGCGCGGGGGCTCCCAGCCCGGCCCCGGCCAGACACCTTCCCCGGGACACAAGGGCAGCGCGGGCTTCACGGGGATGTGTCCTAGACTGCACCCCCACTCAGGCTCACCAGCCTCCGGAGTGAGCCTGTCCACATTGGAAAGTTCTAGACCCAGGCTTCTCAACCTATTTTTGCAGGGTGGCGGGCCTCTTGATTACAATACCAGGCCGGTGGCCCAGGCCTGCAGTGCTGGCTGTTACTCTGGAGGTAGAGATCTTAGGATCATGGTTTGAAACTAACCTGCTAAGTACCACCACCTGGCTCTGCCTCTAGACCTGGACCCGCCAGGGAAAGCGGGCTTGACTGCAGGCATTCCTCCCGTCATCTTCCCCTCCCCGCTTTGCCTGTCCTGTCAATATGGCAGGCATGGCTCTTGGAGTAGGGACAAAGAAACAGACAAAGCAAGCATCCAAAAGCTCATTTTTATTTTTTTATATAAATGAAGCAAGTCAGTCTTCAGGAGATGCCTGGGCCAAATAAAAATGTGGGTGCCTTATTTTCCCACCCAGACCTTGTCTTTTATTGTCCTTCATTCAGTTTCTTTTCCCCTACAATGTGCTCTCTAGCAGCTGGCTTCCTTTTAAAAGCCATGTTACTGCAAATAGTCTACCAGGCCGTGCATGTCCCACCCTCCTCCTCTGACTTTTGAGCGAGTGCTGGGATGGAACACAGTGCAGTAAGACATACAATCACAATACCAGAGTTCATGGCTTGTCCTGCCCCTCAAGCCATAAAACTCTTACATGACAATCTGTAAACATGCAGGAGAAACCAAGTCCACCATTCTAGTGGAGTAGAAAATCATTTAAAACCATCCTTGCCCTGACGCTTTTTGTGGCCTTAAAGGGTTGGCTGGCAGAGCTAAGTTCAAGCAACCTAACTGTACACACAATAACCAGGCTCACCCAGGAAATGTGCATTCTTAACCTAGTCAGCTCCTACAGAATCTGAGGGGGGGGAGGGAGGAAGTAGCACTATTCAAATGCTATTTTGCAAACCTTCCCACGTACTTTTCCAAAACAAAATCACTCAAACTATCTGAGCAACTCACACTTCTACATATACCTACATATGGAATATGTAGGTATTATCATAGCAAAAACTTAGATCTTTCCATTTAAAGGCACATATGAGTAGAGGCCATGTAACCGGTTTCAAAGTTGCTGAATGGCACATTGTAGTTTAATCCTATAAATTCAAGGGAAATAAAAGTGCTAGAAGTGAAACCTAAATTCTGTGTTTTATTCTAGACCTTCAGGCTCCTAGGAATTTTAGATGTTGAGAATATTCCCTGTGCTCGGGATTCAATACTGTATGGATCATTAGGATCTGTTGTGGCTGGGCTTGGACATTTTTTGTTCACCAGTGAGTATGTTTCAATATATTCAACAATTTCCAAAATTTTCCTGGAATTTTCAGTGACTATAGGTGCAGACAGGTATTCACATAGTGACTATCTACTTATTTTTGACAGGCAGAATTAGAAGATCATGTGATGTTGGAGTAGGAGGATTTATCTTGGTCACTTTGGGATGCTGGTATGTTTTTAAGTTTTTCACAAAGCACATTTAATAGGTTTAGCTCAATCGAAAACCAAAACCTCTTTCAGCGATTTCCACTCTATATTTTTTATAGTGAAAATCTATCTTACAAAGAATATTGCTAGAATGTCTTTACCACAGCTTGATATTTAGCTGTTCAAGCATTCAATGCTTGAACAAAGTAATAGCAGCAGATAACACATTTAGTCTCTGTACTTAAGGCCTCAACTGCTTGTCCCATGGGTTATTTCTGTCTATTCAACACACTGAAGTTAGAATTTCATGTCCACTCAATGCTGATGAGTCAGTACCGTGAAGTTGATGTTCCAAGGCCTTGCTGCACAAGTGCTGTGTACCAGGTGAACATGCCTTCAGCTCATGGACAACTCTCAAATCTGTATTTTTGAGCAAAATACGCCAAACTGAAACATTCATACTTTCTGGCTCTTTCTACAACAGCAAAACCTTTTTCTTAACTGTGTAATTAAGAAAAAGTGTTCGTCGATATTTTGCCCCAAATATAACACATTAGAACATTCGCCACACTACTGTTGGGATCAGCATCTGTAAGCACTTTAAAATCCTGTGATTATAGAGTATAACTGTTGAATCTCCATAATTCCTTTAGCCACCTTACATATCAGAAGCATCCTTTTTCTCACATGATTCCAATGTGTGACCTATCCTTTCTTTTCTTTCAAGGTTCCACTGTAGGTATAATTATGCAAAGCAAAGGATCCAGGAGAGAATTGCTCGAGAAGGAATTAAGAACAAGATTTTATATGAAAGCACCCCCCTGGATCCTGAAAGGAAACAAGCCAACAGTAGCAACAGCACAGCTAAGCAACCCTGAGCACAAAGCTGGTTTCAAACAGTGTATGTACAGCAAGGAGGTGCTCGAGCATGCGTCTGACGTAGCCTTTCACCTCCCACTGACAGTATAATATGCCTGCAATATGTATATTGGACCTGTCATGCCAGAAGAGAAGTTACTGGCAGTATGAGTAGTTACTGACTTGAAGAAATAAAAATCAGGAGATTTATCACCTTACATTTTCCAGTACTCTTGCTCTGAAGTTGTGTTTTGGAAGTATGCAAGGTTTAAAGTGCCACCCCACCCCCAGGTGGGCTTTAATCAGGGCTTAAGACCGCATAGGCAACTAGGCTATTACTTCAGTCATGTCACAACCCAGGAATTACACATTAACAATGCAAAGCCCTTTAATGTATGAGCACCGCACCGCCTCATCCCCTTTCTTATGAGATAACCAACTATCAGCACAGTATCACTGCTTTTTGTGCTAGTCCTGGGACTTACAATCATGGTCTGAGATGATTTTTGCTTCAAGGCTAGTACACTTCTAGCTTTTTGGGTAGTTAATTGGACAGTCTCATGAACTTTGCTGGCTAGCTGGCTTTAAACCAGTTAGAACTAGTTGAGTGCACTGTGGGGGGAGAAAAGACACTAGGACAAGATTTTGGCTGTTACCAGTCCTATTGTTTTGATGGGTGAAGGTCAGGCTCAGCCAATGGAGTAAGGCAGATGTCTTCACACTACTTTTAGATTGATGTCAAATACTGGTAAGAGATTACTGAAGTTAAAAGGTTTGCCCATCCTCAATTAACAAAGAACACAATCAAACTGGTCATGAGCGCTTAACTGCAACTGGGTGTCAAGTGGCTCACACCTGTAATCCTAGCTACCCTGGAGGCTGAGATCTGAGGATCATGGTTCAGACAGCCTGCTTAGGAAAGTCTTATCAGAGTTATCACCAAGAAGCTATAAAGTGCTACTGTGGCTCAAGGTGGCAGAATGCTAGCTTTGAGCAAAAAACTCAGGGACAGCCCCAGGATCGCCAGATACATGTGTGTTTATGTGAGTCACCCATGCTTCAAGAAGCAGCATTGCATGGATGGGGAAGAGTATTAGTAGGCCCTACATGGTAATCTGCCATTTAGCAAGCTGTACAAAGGCCAGCTATGCTCTCAGCTCTGTTTGCTACACAGGTATCAAACAAAATCTGACAGCTGACTCAAGCCCTGAGCTCTATCAACACTGCAGTAACAGCTTACCTTGGTCTTAGCCTTTAAGAGAACCTACCTCTTGGTTGATAAAATTTCCAATGCCTTTATCATCACCAAGATTACTTCATTACCATAGTACAGTGACCAGCAAACTGCAGACCTAGATAAAAAGCAAAATACAATTTGGTTTAAATCATTGGTTTTAGAATGTTATTACAGATATTGTATTTCTAGGCGCTACAGAACGGTCTTGAGGTAGATTCTCCCTACCATTTAATCTATTGCTACTGTCATTCAACTCTGCATCTGAAATTGAGTTCTGTCAGACACTGGGCACAGGTTGATTTAAAGTATTTTCACTTTCCTTTAGCTGAGTGCTGGTGATTAACACAAGTAATCTTAACTACTTAGAAGACTGAGCTGGAGGATCTCAATTTGAAGTCAGCCTGAGCAAGAAAAGTCTATATGAGATTCGTGTGTCTCCATGAGACTATCTTCAATCAACCAAACACTAAATAAAGCTGGAAGTACAGATGTGGCCCAAGTGGTAGAGAACCAGCTTTGAGTAGAAAACGCTGGGAGACAGCACCCAGGTCCTAAGTTCAAGCCCCGGGACTGGCACTTTTTTTTTTCCTTTCCCTTTTCCTCTTTAGGCAAAAAGAATGGAATGAGAGCAAGCCATCTCCAAAAATAGTACCAATAACATGGCCAGTTAATGTTAGATCATTACTGAATGTCACTAACAAAGCCTGAGTTTCCCACATCAAACCATCACCAAGGGAAAGGTAACCCTACAGTACCTACCTTCCATGCCTATTCAGGGGCCTCCAGTGCACTGCCTCCTTCATTGTCCCAGTAATTCCACAGTTCACACTAGGTGATAGGAGCAGTGGTACCAGCTAACTAGCTGATCAAAACAGAATTGTAATATTAGTTTAGACCCTTTGTGTAGCTGGTGTTATCATTCCTACTTCAAAAACGCTCTAGTGCTTTAGGCAACCCCCTCCCCTTACCCCTCCCATTTTTTTTACTCCTTTTCCTTCTCAGTAAAAGGGCCTCAGAGGACTTACAATTAGTTTTCTGGACTTGTGATTTTATAAACTGAGCCTGGCAACAACCATGACTATGCTAAAACCAGGATTTGATTTGCAAGCATCTCTTCAGTCTACGTACCTCTAACTCCATCGCTGGCTTCCCTTTGCTTCGATTATATAATGCGAGGAGGTCTATATAATAAATTCAGGATTCCTGTTTATGCACTTTTCAGCACAGAGCTAGGGATCAAATAAGGTTTGAATCCTTCTATTCCTAGATAAACATCTGTTACAGGGGCCAAAACACCCCTTTAAAAGTCATGTTAAGTAGGCACTATTCTTTGGGTAAGCAAACCTTAATGAGTTCACAATTTTTTTTAATTCAGACTTGTAATGGTTTTCTGCTCATGTTTTAGAGCATCTTAAAGTCCAATATTTATCAAATTGGGTCAATATTCCAGTATCTATAACACCCAATATTGGTATCACACAGCTCATTCTGTACGTGAAGTTCCATTTAAAAACAGTTCTTTCCTGGAAAGGTTAACTGTTGGGACAAGAAAATTTTTATTATGAACATAATTTTGAAAGCACTGTAAGTTAAAGGTTTCAGTGAGCACTAAACTAGTTGCAAATTGCACGTTAAGTGAGCTGTAAATATCACTGAGGTAAGGCCAAGCTGACATCTACTAATCATGTTCTTCCTGCCCTGAGTTGCTGGGCTGACAGGACAGGCCATCACACCTAGCTGGAGATTCCTTTACTGCAGTTACCATACTCTTCCCTTCTCTAGAGGAATGCAGGTCAATGAGAATCTCCTTCTACTAGTGGTAATAAACAAGTCCAGCACATTATAATCCTATTATATGGTATACCCTTTCATGACCAACTAATCTGCATACAGTTTAATTAGACAATCCCAGACTATGCCTCTTCCAACGCCATGAAGACAAGCTAGGAACAATGAATCACTCCTTGCCAGTTTCTCAAGTTCACAGAAATCATTTTGAAACCATGAGTTGCTTCCACTTTGGAAGACAAGTTTGGAGCTCTTCTCCATTAAGCAACAATGCTATCAGAACTGCTACCAATTCTCACTTGGTAGACGATCTGGTGTAGGTGGTAAATTTCCTCTAAGCTTAGCTGATCAAGTCAGGATTTCAAACAATAGATTAAATGCTCTGTATGTACTAATATAATCAAACTCCCCTTCTGTATGACTTTAAGCTTCCTTCCTCACTACATCTCATTACCCAAGCAGAAAGGTATCCTATTTTCCCTGTTTTGCACTCCTGTTAAGTATTTAAATTCTACCAAGTAGATAGCATTTTAAATATCACGTAAAGGACTCTTAAGCCTAAAAATAAGCATACATTATTTCACTTAATGTATGCAAGGGAGAAATGAGAAAACCTGTTAGATTTGTCCATCTGGTTGCCAATCTTAATTTTATAGATGCTCCTAGAACCTACCATAATGTTAAATACACAAGCAGCAATGAATTTGGAATACCTATTGGAATCTCTGGAACACATTTAGATGGGCCCTTTCTTTTACTCTTCCACACAGCACATTCACATGGACAGACTAAGGAAAAGGAGATGAAACTTATATCAGCACACTTCTTTTGCTTTATTTTTACAAAAAAAAAAGTACTTTGGAACCTTTATTATTTTACCTGTCCATAACTTTCCCATCTCCCTCAACTAGGTACTCAAGTTGCCAAATGAACTAATTACCTTTCTGTCTGTATAGTTTAATGCTTTTAGAGCATATCACATTTACAGATTAAATGTCTGTTTCTACCCACTTGTTCTTGGTGGCCATCAATTTGTACCAATGTTTATTGGACAAAACCGACCACTTCTACTTTCATGGAATGTGACTGTCAAAGAAGTACAAAACACTAGGTACTAGGTTCGGCATCAGATGCAGCCCTGGCTGTAACCCACAATTCCTAACACTCTCAATGTTAGCTGAATATACTCATGAGCACTTTGTCATTGCTAAACATGGTCAGAGTAACAACCTAAAGCCTGTCTATTATCTTTCTAGAGACTAGCCTAGTCTATACAGTTTCAAGTAGTTTGTCACACTCAGATTCAATGATTTTAAAGCAAAGCCTTGTTACTTAAGGATTGGCTAAACCTTGGCATATAAACAAACTACCAAGTTTGTATTCTCAGACCCATCTGCTAACTTTAAGGAAATTTGACATTTAAGTTACCAGACATGCCTAATTTCCATATCCTAATAATGTACTCTTTAAAAGCTGGTATCACCTATCACTTAGCAGTAGTTCCTACCAAACTGGGTTTGCAATCACCAATGAACCCCCAATAATACATGTCACATGCTTTAGCCTATTACACCTTACAAAAGAGTACGTCTCTGGGGCAACTAATTTACCACTTTTATTTTTATTCAATAGCGAGAATGTGAAGTATAATAGCAAGTTCCATCTATTTCTCTCGAGTTCACTTTCATAAAGTCCTGGTGTTTTGCATGATGATGTGCTCCACAGTGCTAACACCCAAAATGAGCTAGCATGTTTATCAAAATTGTCTTCCACCCCAGTGCACTCGGGGGAATGTGCCGCTTCAATCCTTTGCACACAGCAAGAATCCCATAGTATAAAGGTTAGGAATACAGGGTAATAAGACAAACTCCAACATGAATTAGTAGACAAAGTACTTTTTTTAAAGCTTATTTGTCAAAGCACTTTAACTGAGTGCACTGTCTTCCCTCTTTTGATAAGCTGTAGAATGGATGCCTCTCAAACCCAACATAACCATTGAAGGAGAAGGCTCTCCTTTAATGGGATGAAGATATCTGGGACTTCTATTTCTAATAAAACTACTCTTAATATTTCCTTTGTCATTTACTCTTAGGTGTAAGTCCCAACAAACAGGCATAACAATCTAGTGCCAGATCGTAACATTACATACCCTTGCTTTTAATAGTAAACATGTTCAAAGTTATACTGTTTTCCACTCTACCTCTCAGAGTTCAAAGTTCATATCCAAAATAGGCCTTTTAGAAAAAAATGGCTTTAGAAATTACTAGAGGGAATGAGTGGATAGCTACTCATTCTCTGCTACAAAATTCATTCTCACTTAAAAATTTTTTAAAGATATATGAAGGAAATTATAAACTCCTTTCAAGCTTAAAATATTCTATGCAATAGAACACAGTAAAAACATGGTCCTAGAATTAAAAAACTATACTGAGCACCTTTATAAAAAATTTTTAACTCACAAAATACAATCTATCAATATAAAACCCCCAAGTGCAAACACTTAAAAATAGTGGTTCCACTTTTCACAGAACATCGCTTTTCAGACTGCTTCCCTTCGTCATTTAATGTCACATCGATGACAACTTCAGGGTACCTTCATACTTGTGAGTTAGGCCACTGCCTTCTTACAGGGCCCCTTTAAGGGCTACTTTATATAACCCAGAAACAAAGAAACTCTCTGTGGGACTATTGATTCATTTCTATCTTGCAGTCTTTTCTTTCCTGGTCACCTGTATACAAAAATTATCTTGTCAGTGCTGGGGGCTTTAACCAAGGGAATTATACATGCCAAGTGAACACTGCGCTACGCCCAAGCCACTCATCACATTGAGTCAGCATGTCTTATGAACCAAGGTTCCCATGAAAGCACTTCTTGAATTATGTTTTCTCTAGCCAGGATTTGTTTGGAACTAAGTTCTCTACTTATTTTGCATGCTGTGGAGGTGGGTCATGGCAGGCAGGGTAAGAACTGATTTAAAAAAATGTCAAGATTGTATTCTGCCAGATCTTGGCATTTCTTAAAATAACCTCATTTTTCTCCATTTTGCCTACTTGGTACCTTCCCTAAGATTTGTTTTTCCTTGATAAAATTGAAACTATTAGTCTTAAGATTGTTCAAATTTCTAAAGAACTCCGTTTATCTATTCCAGCTCCCTGTATTTTGGCTGCACATTGATATGCTACCTAATATAATTTACGGTTGCAACAGCAACTATAAATCCTTTCTGCAATTTTCAAGTAGTTATTGCCAAGTGTTTAACATGCACAAATAAAAACATTTAAAATACCCATGAGCATCAAGTTTGAATTTTCACTAAGTATATATACAACCCCAATGATGCATACTGAAAAAGTTAACACATGCTAGTTGTGGCTAGTAGTTAACTACTAAAAAAAAAAAAGAAACACCTTCAGTACACTACCCTGTACTGGTTGGTATCTTATGGTAGTCTTTATTCCTATACCATCATCTAAGACTGATCAACTCCAGCAGGTAGAAAAAGTCCCTAGGAGAATGAGCTGGTTAAACATCTGACTTATAACTACAACAATATTGTAAGCAATATAGTAAACCTGAACTTACCAGAAGCAAGTTAAAAATATCATCAAAATACTAACTACTAAGCTGTAGTTAAAAGTTTAGTTCTACAGTTTGACTCCTGATCCCTCACATCACAGTGAGGGTCCTTTAGGAGATTTAAGTGTTCTTTGCAAACCCAATAAAGTTACAATTAGGGGATCTAATGTTATTGCATAGCTAAAGTCAAGTTAGCAGTGGTGTGTAGTAGTGAGATCAATGACTGGCTTGTATGATGAATAAAGTCATCACTCCAGGACAGCCGTTAGCAATTTGTAAAGACAGTAAATTGAACTTTAACTTCTCCCAGCCAGTACTATTTCCCCTCAATAAATGTTAAATAAAAGCAGTCTGGGGGAAGGGGAAGGGAAGAATTCAACTTCATATTAATCATCAGTGTACATTTAAGTTTTTAAAACCTAAATGTTCCAAGTACAGAGTAAAGAATAAGCTGTCCAGAAAGCACACACTTAGAATCTCTCCTCTTGGGGAGCAGTTGATAAAGGGATTTTGAACCTTGATGGCGAGAATCCCAAAACGAGAGTAAAATGAATTCTTTTTATTGCAAACAAACGTCTAAATTAATTTCTCCACCCACTTTCTTTAGAAGGAAAAAGAAATCAGCAGGCTAAGGAGATACCCATTCAATAACTGACATGATTAGAAATTAAGATATAAATGGGTGACTCACAATTTCATTAGCTTACAAAGATGGTGGAGTTAACTACTACAAGCACACTAGTTATACAGTATTTTGTGGGAGAAGGGCATACAGACATAGCTAACTTCATATAGATCCCATTAGACAACTGGATTTACAACAAGTTTTTTAATAAGAAATGGGCAAAGCCAGCTTTCTTTCAGAATCAAAATGCAGAACAAATGGAAAAATTATGGTATTTAACCTTCACAAGTTTGAGCCTCCACAAATAATGCAACCAAGTTTTACATTGTTTAACAGCCCTTCTACATACACTCCATCTTCTCCACCTTGGTTCCAATTTTCACCTTCATTCCCAATTATACCAATTCCATTGTTATTTAAATAGAAAAGGCCTTCCCAGTTTTTGTCACAATTTACTATTTAGCTTACCCCCTTGCACTATTACCCAGAAAACTAGAGAGGATGGAGTGTAATATGAGCATTACAGAGTCTTACGAAATTCATGAGGACTGCTAGTCCTTACATGAATCTGGTTGCTAACATTTCTATTATATTGTGACAATGACTCCCGACTGTTATTCTCTGTGAGAAATGGGGGGAGTAAATTCTTAATAAAAGACACCAGGTACAAAGCAACATTTTACTTTTGTTGTGATAAAAAAAAAGTCACATTTTACAGATAAAATGTAGAACCCTGAAATACTGACACATTCTCTTATCGTGCACAATGCTGAGGTTCTCTTACGATTCACTTTAAAACTGCAATTAAAAATGTACAAAAAAGAAAAGAAAAAAAAATCAACCCACAAAGCTTCTAAAAAAGGAACCCGCAGGCACTTCCTCTTGTGGAATGTTTAAAAAGTTAGCCTACTAAAGAAAACAGTCGACTTCTTGTGAAGGTTTTGGAGAAATATGTATCAGTTCGTTTTATTTGGGTATTCAATAATATCCTTGGTGATAATGCTGACTCCATGGCTTCTGACCCCAGAATTGCTGTAAGAGAAAATTGTTTTTTTAAAGAAAAAACATCAATAAGCCACTCAAATTGCTTTTAGGAAATGACAATCTAATTCAGAGTAACTGCTGGAAACAAATTTATACTTGTCATACCTGATTTCTATCAAACCAAATTTACTTTTAATATCCCATTATTTACCAAAATACACATTACCAAAAAAAAAAAAAAATCATGACTTGGGTTAGTTTACACAATTAAATCTATCAGTAAAAAGAACCATTAAGTAATTATTTTATTAAAATAGTTAAGTTACTGTGAATTCCAACCTGTTTATAAGCTATATCTACAACACAATGTCACCTTAACTTTTTAATTCCTGGGTATTTTTGAAACTGATTCTGGTAAATTGAAAATATAATTTACAGGATCACGTAAGAAATTACTTACACCCTGCTGCCACTGGTTGTAGCCCTGAGATTGATTTTTGTAACCACGATTGTTTCCTCGTCCTCTGAAATTCTGTAAGAAGAAAAATTGTTGTTCAGTGCTCAATAGTATCAGCATGTTTGCAGAATTAGAAGGGTGGGGTCATCTACTTGGCAAACAATCCTGGGGTACAGAAACTCCAGACAGACTAGAGTGGGTTCCATTTTTATTCTCTAGAAATCTGACTTGGCTACCTGCAAAACCAAACTTTTCCATTACTGGGTTTTATGTTTGTAACTGCATACCAAAACCATATTCTTTATTCCTCGAGTCTCCTCAACAAGCCTAAGTTAGAAAAGCTTCCAGGTTAAATTATGCAAGTACCAATGGCTTATATGGATCTTCAATCTCTTTACCTGGTTGTAGTTTCCTCTGTTGGGCATTCCACCTCTATTGTAGTTCCCTCTGTTTGAGTAGCCACCTCGGCCAGGAAACACAGGGCCACGAGGGTAGGGATAGCCAATGCCACCACTTCCACCACCGCCACCACCTCGCTGTGGCATATTGCCCCTCCTGTTGTAACCACCACGATTCCCAGGAGCTAAAAACAAATACAACTTGGGTTAATCCTTTAGTTGGGGGGAGGCTTACTTAAATTGCTCACTTAAGACTTTTCACTAGTTACTATGGTATAAGATCTTACGAATGGGGACCGTAGTTCCTATGTAAGTTAGCTAAATGGACAGATTCTAGCCACTATTACTCAATTCAATCTTGAATGAACTTGCCTCCCCCTCTGAAGTTGCCCCCACGCATATTGAATCCTCCACGTCCTCTATGACCACCGCCTCTGTTGAACTGGTTCTTGCCACTCTTATTCTTATTGCTCTTCTTTGAGCCAGTGTTTTGCTTCTTTTCTGGTGGAAGTGCTTTTTTGCTTTCCTCTTTATACTGCTCCAGAAGTTTTTGGGCTTCTTCCTTCTGAAGTTCAACATAGGTTATTTCATCAAAGCACTCAGCCACCTCCGGCAGGGTAAAGTTTCCTACAGTCAATAAAGTCAAAGTTAGAAACCACTGCAAAGAGCTGGGTATCACAGAACACAGCAAAGAAACCATCTCCTACCTTTCATTTTGAGGACTGCATGCTCTGGCAAGTCCTTCCCCTCTACTTCTGCTTTCTTCTGTGTTCTCTGCTTATAGTCTTCATCTTTTGGGCAAACTACAACAGCTTTCCTTTGGAAGCCTGCAAACAGGCACATTTTTCTCCTCTGGGCAGCAGCAGACACATTTGTCTTGGGAAAAATCATATTCAAATGTATAGTTTGAAATCTCACTATAAGTATACAATTTTACTTAACATTTAACATTCTTCACTCTTAACGCTATTCAGAGCTTACCTGATCCAGAATGAAATTACGCTTCTTTCGAGCAGCAATCTCGATAAACTTTCCAAGACACTGTGGGGCTCTCTGTAAGAGTGTGTTCAGCTTTCCAGTATCCGCCATTTGCTTCTTAAAGCCTGCAACCTGTTTTAAAAAGTACTGGAGTCAAATTATGCTTCATCACTCACTAGCCCCTGGTGGCTCATGTCTGTAATCTAGTTACTCAGGAAGTTGAGATCTATCTGGAGATTGCGGTTTTTCCTCCTCAGCTTGAGCAGGAAAAGTCTGTCAGACATTATGTCCAACTCATCACAGAAAAAGTTGGAAGTGGTACTGTGCCTCACACATAGTAAGAGTGCTAGCCTTGAGCAGCAAAAGCAGATTAGGGACAGTGCCAAGGCCCAGAGTTCAAGGCCCAGGACAAGGGGGCAGGGGAGCCGTTTGGAACTCAAGGTCTCATAATTAGGTGGTGGTCTATCACTTAAACCTTAGCTCCCCAGCCCAGGTTTTAATTTTTGTTGACATGCAAGTATTGAGTACTGCCTGGACTATACAACTACACAATCCACCTACTTCAGCTTGTGAGTAGCTAGGATTTCAGGCTACTGGATATTTAGTGTTAAAAATAAATAAATCTAAGCCGGGTACCAGGTCCAATGGTTCACACCTATAATCCTAGCTACTTTTATTTACTTTTTTTTGGTCGGTCGTGGGGCTTGAATTCTGGGCCTGGGCGCTGTCCCTCAGCTCTTCAGCTCAAGGCGAGCCCTCTACCACTGGAGCTACAGCACCACTTCCGGTTTTCTGGTGGTTTATTGGAGATAGGAGTCTCACGGTCTCTCCTGCCTGGGCTGGCTTTGAACCGCGATCCTCAGATCTCAGCCTCCTGAGTAGCTAGGATTACAGGAGTGAGCCATTGGCGCCCGGCAATCCTAGCTACTTAGGAGGCTGAGAATCCCAGTTCAAAGCTAGGATGGGAAGGAAAGTGAGTCTCTTTTCTCCAATAAAAGTACCCAGAAAACTGGAAGGGGCGCTGTGGTTCAAGTGGTAGAGCACTAGCCTTGAGATGAAGGAGCTGAGGGACAGCGCCAAGGCCCAGAGTTCAATCCCCACCACCAACCCACCCATCCACGTCTCCCAAAACAAAAAAAATCTATAGTAAATTAAGACTAGTCACTGGGAAGCAGTGTACTTTATACACAGAGCTTGGTACTTCCTATTTTATATACAGAGCTTAGTACTTCAAATTATCACTTAACTTTAGCAAACTTAAGAAACTGAAAGCTACCAAGATCACATTCTAATCTGGAGACCCTTCCCATTTAAATGTTGAAACCAGTTCTCTTACCATCATCTTATCCATAATGGTGTTTGTCCCAAGAATGTTGTACTTGCCAGGATTTTCAGATGCATGTTTAGTAACCCAAGTAGTTTTGCCAGCTCCTGGCAAGCCAATCATCATCACAACCTACAGTGGAAAAAATGTTATTCAGGTTACCTCTTTTGAACAGTTTTTAGGCTGAACCAGAAAATAAACTTCCTTAGTCCTCATACTAAGAGAGAATTTGTGTTTCTAACAAGCATGTAACACTTCACATAAATACCGCTTGAAAGGCTAACAGTGAAGACAAAATATTAATAATCATCCAAGTTTGCAGACTTCCAATGCCACATAAAGTACAAGAGAAAGTAACACTTACTTCACAGTCTTTCTTCTCTTCGGGCCCCTTTGGTCCTCTAACTCGATCTTCTAAGGGGACATTCTGGATGAAAGTATAGTCTTCAGGTATTGGGAAATATGGCTTTTCCTTCTGACCAAAATTAAATTCAACTGCACAGTTGTGGCAGAGAACATGTGGGAAGAGTGGCCGTCCAGCTAGAACTTCCTTACTGATTTTGAAGGCAATGCCAAGATCTTGTCCATTCTTAGCGTAAGAGAGTTCTACTTCATCACTTTCAAAGTTCTATCAAATAGAAAAGGTTACCAGCTTCAATTTACTTCCTATAAAGCTTTCTAAAAATATTTCAAAATCCAATTAACAAATCATTGCATCTTGTGAAAAACATACTTAGGTTAAATGCTCAAAATCTGCTGCTAGTAATAAGAAAACATCAAGAAATATTTTAGGGGGCTGGGCAATGTGGCTCAGTGGTAGAGTGCTTGCCTAGCAGGCATGAAGCCCTGGGTTCAACTCCCTCAGCACCACAAAGTGGCACTTTGTCAAGTGGTAGAATGCTAGCCCTGAGCAAAACAAGCTCAGAACAGTGTCCAGGCCCTGAGTTCAAGCGCAGGACTGGCATGTGCACATGCATGCACTTTCTCTCTCTCTCTATATATATACATACGCAGGCATTCTTATTATGAGGAACTAGAGTTCCCAGGCAAATTTCTTGTTTAGTAAACGCCTTACTGAATTCTTCTCAGAAAAATGTCCTGTACTTTCTCAGTGCAACAGTCTTTATTATTTATACTGAGAATAGAGATGCAACTTTCTGAAAACTCCTGAATGTAAAGGACTTGTCATTTAGAGAATGTTAACTCACAGCAAAACATGTAATGACATCATTTTCATCAAACTTCTCTCCATAATCTTCTGTCTCACAGTTGCATGTCTTTATTCCCTTTAGAGAGTACCCGTAAGAAAACTCTTCTTCACCTAAGGAAAAATTTTCATGAGGCCAGTTTTAAGCAAATACCTATTATTTTCCTATTTAAGATGCAGCATGTGCCAATGAGAATAAGCTAATAATCTTTAACTCATCTACCTCTGCCAAATGTAGAATTAATGAGGTAAGTGGGACTTATATTACTAATTGACACATTTCATGCCTTGCATAAGACTTTTTCTCTTGGATAATTGTTTTAACCCTGTCAACTCAAGGATAAAAAAACTAATTTCAGTGCATGCCTGTTACATGCTAATACTATTCATTTGTAAAACTCTAACTCATTTCAGAATACCTAGTCAAAATACTGAAATCAGCCCCTAAAACATTTGTGAGCCCACAGTACTCAAAACTTTACCCAGCAACATTCCACTTGTGGTTAGTGACCAGCCAATGCGCACTTCATGTATGTCAATGTCTTTTGTGTATAAATGCCTTACTGGGATCTTCTCTGTAACCTGAAAGTCAAATTATTACACAATTAACTCCAAATACTTGAACTCTGCTTTATTTCATTTGGGTCACAGGGTAATTCTTCTCTAGCTATTAATGCAAAGACATCTACCTCTACCAGGCCTTTCTTAACCCTTTGCTCCTGTCACTTGTGAACAGCTTAGACTTGATGTTGAACACAAGATTTTTAAAATTCTGGCTAATTCAGACTTAGAATAGTTCTCAATTCAAGCCAACTGAACCGTAACTTTTCTTTCCAGCAATACTAGTAGTATAGAACTCTCTGGTGACCCTCTCTAGTGTCTAGTAGAACACACATCCTAAATAGAAAACACGTTACATATATATGCCATACTGACATGGTATATTGGGGTATTACAAATTTATTTGACTGAAACAGGCATTAAAAAACCCCTATTGATGGGCTGGGAAGTTGGCTCAGTGGTAGAGCGCTTGCCTTGCATGCTCGAAGCCCTGGGTTCGATTCCTCAGCACTACATAAGCAAAAAGAAAAAAGCTGGAAGTGGCGCTGTGGCTCAAGTGGTAGAGTGCTAGCCTTGAGCTGAAGAGCTGAGGGACAGCGCCTAGGCCCAGAGTTCAGGCCCCACGACCGGACCCAAAAAAAAAAAAGAACAAAAAAAAACCCTCTTGAGCTGGGAATGTGGCTTAGTGGTAGAGGGCTTGCTTTGCATGCATGAAGCCCTGGGTTTGATTCCTCAGTACCACGTACATAGGAAAGGCCAGAAGTGGTGCTGTGACTCAAGTGGTAGAATGCTAGCCTTCACCAAAAGCAGCTCAGGGACAGTACCCAGGCCCAAAGTCAAAGCCCCAGGAATGGCCAAAAACAAAAAACCAACCAAACAAAAAAACCCTCTTGAAACTCACAGTAAGTGCCTTTGACCTGGAGAGGAAATGAATTTGATTTTGAAAAACCAAAAAAGGCAATTAATTACCTTCATCTCAAAGCATACTTTTCCTTTTGACACACCATAAGATGCCCTTCCTCCAGCCCAAAGAAAAGCAAAACTTTCCATAGTAAGGGAAGAAGCACTAAGGCGATCTCTTGAAATTTTAAAATGTAGGTCACAATTATCTGTAATTACATCAAATAACGTTATTATTCATTTGACACCCAATGTAAACATTTCTGCCATACAAACAAGTTTAGTGCATTTTAGCTGCACAGGAAACTTTATACATACATGTATCATGCTGTCCCAATTCAAGTTAAGCCCCACTCCCACCAAGAAATCACACTATCAATTATGTACCGAGTTAATTGCCTATTAAAGTAGCAAGGCTTAACGTGTTAAAATCAGCAATGTGAAAAGTAACCAACAAAGGTGACATTCATACATACCTGCTCTGCTCTTTACCTTGATTTAGAGGCAAGCAGTAGATAGCAGGATATCAAAGTGGAGCATACCAGAACCAGGTAGAATTTACCAGTGCCATAATAAAACTGAAGGGAAGCCATGACCACTGTACTTTAAAACAGGAGTCTGAACTGTTGATGCTGTACTTTTGTTACTTAATTAACACCAGAGGGGTTCTACATTCTAGGCCCTCAACTGTTTACTGAGACGTAAGTCTATGGACCCAGTCACCTAAAGCTGTGAATATTATAGCATTTTAGATCCCCCTTTTCCAAGCCTGTCAGTTACTACAATTGGGATTAACCACTTCCTAAATTATCCAAACCATCTATACCCTAGCTAACCTAGGTTCATTAATATGCATTTTAACATGTATCTCAAGAGGCCTAACTTGACAGCTAACCAAGTTAGGAAGCTGGCTTTAATTTTCACTGATTGGGTTAATCTAGAATTCCTGTCCATTGACAGAATTTAACAAATTCCCCGTTGCTCCATTCCAAATCCACTGAACAGTAGGCAGAGTTACCCTTACATCCTATTGTATTACTGTATATGCAAGCAACTGAACTTGAAACTAGAAACCAATTACTCCTCTATTCTTTTAAGATTTAGCAACCAACTAACTGTAAGAAAGCTTTACACTTACAAGTCTGAATTAACAACTTTATACAGGAAAACAGGAGAAGCTAAGCTTCAACATTTACATCTAACAAGTAGATAAAAGTGCCTATTACTTTTCAAGAATTCCTATCTTTTCATCTGTTCACCACTGGCAATTGTATATTCTAGTCAAATACTAAGTCCACATAATTTTTGATGAAAAATACATAGGTCTGATGAGAAAGCTAAAGCCCATTTAGAGGTTTGCAATACTTCCTTATATTCAATTGCAACCCAACTGGGTAAGTAGCAGTATTTACTGCGCTGCCAATGATACCATTCGCTGGTGAAGGAAGCTAGTGGCCCAGTGATGGCCCACTGCTGCTGCCCCAGGTCTTTGGAAGAAATCAACTTAGGTTAAAGCAGCAGCTACTGAACTGGAATTGAGAACAAAAGAGCAGTTATTGGAAATGTAATATTACAGTCTCTTAGGATAGGGAATATACTTGTGTGCTAATGGGAAGTCATTAATACTTAGCCCAGATAGCTCACTTAAATTCCACACACACACACCTCTAAGTCAATATAACCTTACAGTAAGGACAATAGCATTAGTTTTTACCAGTTGCCGTTAGCTTGTCAAAAATAAGGTCAATTGCACAGTCCCCAAATTAACAACTTCCAAATCTTGAAAACATTACCAAAGTGTTAGAGCCTGGAAATCTTTCAATGGAACGTTAGGTGTCCTAAATATTACCTCTGGATGAACACAGACCACTAGGTTCCTACTGCTCATAAAACGCACTCCACACACATTAACCTGTGCTAAGAATTTTGGAACCAAAGTACTGATTTTGTCAACTGGGGGAAGAGAAAGGAGTCAAATTCACTTACAAGTATCAAGACAAACCACTGTGTCATCGAAGTGTTCATCTTCTTCTTCCACAGGTGGCTGAGGAGACTTGGCTCTGAAAGACACAATTTCTCCTGATCCAGCCGCTCCCACCAACGCAGGGAACATGGGAGCAAAGCGTAACTAGAGGAGCATCCTCTACCTGCTGTACTTGTTCTCTTCAATGTACTCAAAGTATCCTCGGCCATGATCTTCTCGGGGTCTCTTAACACCTCTCTTTTTATCTCCGCCTTTCTGCTCTGTTTTGCCGTCTCCTACAACACACAGCGCCCCTTGAAGAGACCCAGCCACCGAGACGAGAACGCCGCTTCCGCGTGGAGACCGACGCCCCAAGGGCTGTATTTTTCCACCCGGTTGTGCCGATCACCCGACGGCCGGGACGAGAACGCAAACCACCCGCTCGGAACGCGGCCGGAGGCGGTGACGCAGTCTCGGGTCGCGGCTAATCGCGGCGCCGCCGCCGCCGCCGCCGCCCCGCGGAGCCCAGAGAAAGC